TATAAATCTTACTTTTCTTCTTTTCTGCCTAAAATCGTTTTTTTCGTTTTATTCCTTTTATGATTATTTTTCGAAGATAATACTTTAGCACAATGTTAGCACAACTTAGCACAACCTAGCACAATAAAAAAAATTTCGAAAATCAAAAAGTGGGGGGCTACCAAAAAAAACGGTTTTTTCCATTTTTCTCGCTCATTTTTCGTATTAAAAATTTATAATTCGAGCACAATGTAGCACAAACCTAGCACAAATCAGCACAACTGTCAAAATTAATAAATTCGAAAAGTGGGGGGCTAACTTCATACAGGCGAATTTGTTGCTTTATTTGCAATTTTATTCATCGAATTAACTTGATTTAGCCCGCTCGAATAAACGGTGCATCTTTTTCGTATTCATGATACTCGAATCGAAAATAAAGGTCTCGAAACGCGCGATTGAAACTTATTTGAATACTCTTCCGAGTGGCAGGATTTATTTCATTACGTATTCTCTTTCGTGTCTTCCTGTTTTAACACTTGCGCGTTTCCTTCTTGCATCATCATGAGGATTTAATATTTAGTAAATCGCGCGGGGCCCTTCGTGGATCGTGACACACGAGAAAGGAGGCCGGTACTTTGTATTCGCGTCAATAATGAAATACATAGCTGCTAGGTATACGATAGGAAACGTGACGGAAATTTTCGATTACAGTACGGCGATAAATCGCGAGTACGACGTTTCGCAAGCTACTCCGAACGTTCGTTATGACGTTACCTTGTTATGGCTCGCTTGAAACAATGGTGAGACCGGAAATAAAATTTCTAAGTTTCAACGGCGATAAAGCCGTTCTCAAAGAAAATCATTATCCAACGAAAATAGAATGCACACTAAGAAAAAAAAAAATACTTAAAAATTTATTTGTGAGATATAAAATTGATGAAATAAATTTTTAAATTTTTTTCTCAGTGTATAGCTATTGGAAGAGTGTAATTCTCGTTTCTATCCTGCCTAATTCCGGAACAAATACGATATGTCGAAAAATATTGAGCGCATTCAAGTGAAAATGTGCATTAAGAAAGTTGAAGTTGAATTGACTCAAAGCGCACGTGTGCGGACATCATCGCTGGTGCGATAATAATATGCTGTTTCGTTTACTACTAGACGACGCGGGTGTAGACAAAACCCCGAGACTAAATGCAACAGCAGTTGTGCATAGAGCCGCGTCCTTACGAGAGGGAGAGAGAGAGGGGGGAGGAGGGGGGAGGAGGGGGAGAGAAAGAGCGACCGGTCGAATGCAGCCGGCGGCAAAAGCTGCACTGCCGACACCGCGATGTTGTACATTGTGCCGGAAGCCGTGTGCGATGCCGCTGGCTCTGGTACACTCCTCTCACTTTTTCACTCTTTCTTCCAGTCACGCTCCATCGTCATCGTCGTCGAGAACATCGCGGTAGACTGGTTGCAGATACTGCAGCTAATCGCGTTGTTTTACCAGTGGCCTGTTCTATGGGACACTAAATGCGACGATTTCAAGGACCGGCAAAAGTGTCTCGAGGCCACCGTCGAGCTCGCGGAGCGATTTCATGTCGAGAAGAATGAGATTGAGGAGCAGCTAAAAATCTATAGAGTCACCCTGAAGATGAAGAAAGAAGAGTACTCCAAGTCGGCATGATCGCCGTTTATCATAGTAAATGGTTTACTTACCAAGCGATGAGATTTCTGGCGAACAAGAGCAAGCTCACACAAGGTCAGGACGTGACCATCAGCAAGACGTTGCCGGCGAAAGTCTGAGACAGAAGTCGCCGGTATGTAATAGTAGCAACGCGTTTGAAGAAATTCGGTAAGAATTTGAAAATTCGCGCTTATTCGTAAAAAAAAAAATCCCAATCAATCTCCTAAATCAATGGAAAGTTCAAGTTTTTCTCTATGTCATTTGTAGATTTACGGATCTACGTAGGATCTAAGAACGTCATCTCTACGGAGTTTTCCTGTGAGAGAGATTAAGGACAAGAGAACTGCCTACAACATTTATATAGCGAATTATATGTGAATCAATAAAATAGGGCGGACAATAGCCAGATCGTTGGAAAGAAAGAAGCCAGTCAAGATTTGATCGGATTCGCGAAAGAGGCAAACAGCGAGGATCAACAATCTCAGAATATCGCCAATTTTGAAGACACACGACCATAAGGAAGCTCTTTTCCTCCTTCTCGAATGATTGTAAACAGGATTATAAGGTGATACCTGAGGACGTGATCGCGCCGCTGATTGATTTTCTCCTCACGGAAGCGAAGGCGCGCGACTCGAGTCAACTGGAATTGAGTTTCTACTAGAGTCGCATTCCGGACATTACGAAACTTTCCGTGAGGAAACGCAGGCAGTTCAAAGAAATAGTGCTGCACATACTGAACAAGCTTTTGGACGAGGACGAGAATGATGCTCTTTCGAGCGTCAATACTAAGTAGGTCGAGCAGAATCGATCTTAAGAGTTTCGACGAATGTTATTTCTACGAAAAACTAATACACGTTGCTCGCGCCAAATTTTTGTACCATATGGAATATTATTTTTTAGTAACACTAACGGCTTTTGTCGCAGACGATTCGTTTGGGAAAAGTCAGCGAGAGACATTGATAGTGACTGAGTTTTGTTATGAAATATAGTTATGTATCCATAGGACAAAATTTTGTATTTATGTCAATATGTAGGATATATCGAGAAGTCCACTAGTTGGCTACTTTTTGTTATATTCTCCTAAACTATTGTTGTATGCCGAGTAGATAATTTCGCACGTACGTATTCTCGTACGTATTATTTTATAACGATTGCACAAATAAGTGCCTACGTGTATATTATCATTCAATTTTTTCACCTGCATACAGCGATTTAAAATTTTCATTTCTCCCTACGTGTATTTACTTTTATCAAAGATATCGTGCGTACATACACACACTTGTTCGTTCTTAATTGCTCTCTTTATTATTTAGGGAGTTAGAGTGGAGATCGCGAAGACGAAAAGGTTTACGATCGATTTCTCATGCGTTATATAGATCAAGGCAATTTGGATAGTAAAAAAACTCAAGCCAAATTGAATAGAGAAATACGTAAATTATCTACATTCGTTTGAATCTCCAGACGCTAAACACAATAACCAACAAGAACAGAGAATATTATTACCAACGAGGATTTTCAATTGTATGCCCGAGCACAATTTCAGTATGGACTCGATGATATATTCGTTTGCAAAACAGATTACACTTATTTTTTCCATTAAAACAAATATGAAAAACGTTGCAAATCGTTTTGCAGTTATATTAACTATGTTGACGCGACACCCTATGTAGCAATCCTGCATAAATAGAATCATGTTGCACATACTATCGTGATTCACAGATATCGATAGAAGCTAAATACGATCGATCTTATGCTTCAATGATTACACTCACCTACAGAGCAACCAAGCCGTATTCCCAAGTCGGCTCTTTTCCTCTGCCAATCTCTCTTTCACGACTTGTGTTGCTTTGGCTCCACATCGCGACGCGATGAAAGACACTCGACTTGTCGGCAGACGAGAACGATCGTACACGTGAACTTGATGTCGGCCATTGCACCACTAAAGATTCGTAAAACTTTCTACATTTCGTCGTATCCCTCTCTCTCTTTCTCTCGCTTGCTTACCTTCAAACGCTATATGCTTCTCGTCGAGTGCATAAAGTGCAGCTAAACAGTCCGAAATCGTTGATTCGTTCTCGATTGAATTGCGGTGACGCGCGCTGCTTGAATTCACCCGCCGCGACGTGATTATAGTCGTTTCCGCAGCTGCGCAGCGAGCGAGTTACGTCGCGCGGCCGATATCCGGCCACGTTAAAATAGCTTGTTTGGACAGAATCCTTTGCCGAAGCAGAGCTCGAGGTTGTGCACGTTGGTTGGCCCGGTGATTCTCGCGGAGTTGTAAATGCGCGCGGTGACAAAGTGACGCGGGAGTCGTCCAACCGACTGTCAGAATGGACTGCTGGTCTACTTGGCTGTTGCTCGTCTCGCTGCTTGCCGCACTCTTGCTCACGGGCGGCGTCGAGCTAACCTTTGAACTGGCTGACAATGCCAAGGAGTGCTTCTATCAGGAGATTGGGAAGAACGTCTCGTCCACATTGGAATTTCAGGTGCGCTTTGCGCTTTCGGTGCATTTTCTTAACGTCACGAGATCGCTTTTTCGTCACGACACGTCACGACGCATCGCCGGCTGCGTGCCAATTCCGCGACGCAATATTCTATACTCGTCTGCGTGGCCGAAACATAGGTCTGCTCGTTTCGGTTACACTTTTCTGCACTTTCAACATTTATTTTAAAACAGATTATATATTAGTGTTTTGAAGAAAAAGTCAAAAAAAGAATACCTGAGCAAATGTGCAAATGCATCCTACCTTTTGAAATGAATCAGAGAAATGTAAGAGAAACAGTTCTTGTAAACTAATATAAACCCAGGCAGCATAATTTGCCAAAAGATTTCTACTAAAAGGCGTTCAAAAGATGTCCTGTTTCTCTTGAACATCTTTAAGACACTTTTTAGTAATTTGTGTAATTTGCAGATGGAAAATAATATTTCTATTGGTATTGCAAATATTTTATTCAGCTTAATTTACTTTGCTACAAAGACTAAATTGAAGCATAACCTTTGTCAAATCTACATTGTAATTGGTACACTTTTTTCTGTTTAGGTGGTTACAGGTGGTCAGTACGATGTAGATGTAACTTTAGAGGCACCAAACAAGGAAATTATTTATAGACAAGTCAAGACACAGTTTGATTCGCATTCATTTATACCAGCCATGTCAGGAATATATAAAGCCTGCTTCAGCAACGAATTCTCCACATATTCACATAAGCTAGTTTACATGGATTTTCAAGTAGGCGACGAATTGCCATTACCAGGCCTAGCAGGAGAGCACGTAACTGTTATGACTCAGGTGAGATAACATTTGTGAGACAGAGAGTTTTTTTTTTACATCTGGTAGTTTCAAGCAAAAGGATATTCAATACGTGAATTTCATCTGCAGATGGAGTCTTCCGCCCAGGAAGTGCATAAAAATCTGATCAGTATCCTGGATTATCAGACACACCACCGTCTGCGTGAGGCACAAGGTCGCAAGCGTGCAGAAGAACTTAACGAGCGTGTGCTCTGGTGGTCTGTGATGGAGACGATATGCATTCTGATAATTGCCATAGGACAGACACTTCTCTTGAAAAACTTCTTCACTGATCGAAGTCCCTCACAGAGTTACTAGTGTAATCGCGAAATAATTCCAATTGAAACCATGGAAGAACTCTCGTTTGCGATCGAGCTGTGCGATCCGCTGGGTCGGTAGACCGTCCGTTCATACGGTGCCGTAACCTTTTCGATCATCGGTCGAAGTGCCATCGCCACACATCTGCCGGTATAACAAGTCAGGCCTGTATTCCCGCGGTGGAAGCGTCTCAGCAGGCAAGCTCGACGATGCGAGAAACGCTTAGGGGACTTTGCGATCAGGATTCAACGAGCGAGAGTCGAGCCTCGAGATTGATACCTCAACATATGACACGCGCCAGGCGAAATGTCCTTGTGCATGTCTTGTGTTGTGGCGTCGTCTATGTTATGGCTACGACTATTTCATGTTGGGAATGCCAGTATATCAAACTTGAAGCGATCGAAGGAGTAAGAAGTGCAAGTAAAAGGACTTTGCCTTACATCTCCCTACCTGACGGACAATTTCAAGTTTGTACTTATATACTGGTACTTGGGACAGTAAAACGGATACTGAAACACGGACGTTGTGTTCTTCTTACTTGTGAATGTGTAACATAATAAATTAAACGATATTCGTGTGTACCGAACGTTTTTCCTCCTATACGTTATATCGCTGAGCGATCTGATTGTTTCCCGTCTCCTGTCGTTATCTGTCGCGTTGCTTCCGTTATTTATCTGAATCTAAGCTATCAGTCGAGGTAGACGTTACTTAAATAAATAAAACGATTTTACTAATTTTTTTCGTTGCGATTTCTTCGTCTCGCTCGGAATTTCGTCCCTGATAATATAAATATGTCGTGCGACATGCCGTACAGACGATGATTATGAACGTAATATGTTTCCACCTCATACGTGGCACATGCCACGTGTGATGTTTTCCGCTGCGTGTGCGCTACTTGATAAGCGCCTGCTCGCGATTATCCGCCAATGAAGAAAACGGGGCAAGTGTATGCAAGATCATTAGCTGTCTGCAGAGAGAGTCATACTTTTAAATTGTATCCGCTACTTATGCTAATTGCACTTCGTGTTCGTCGATGTGAGAATCATTCTCGCAGCAATTAGCGTAAGTTTCACAGCATTCTCGATTTATATAAAGTGGGAATTTGTAAAAAAAATTAATAAAATTAGTACAATGTACATCAAGGTATCTTCAAGCTATTATTCATTCTAATAAATTGTAATAATAAATGATATATATATATATATATACACCTTTTTAATTTATTTGTATGTTTTATGAATTTAATATGCAAATAAGTATTTGAATGTTACATGTAATTTATAGTATACTTTTCAAGTAACAAACAATTATATAATTAGAAACAATGGTACTTAAACATTGATCATTCATAGCAAGCGAACGAATCAGTGAACAATATTCGCCAAGCAATGAATAAAAAGTTTTAAGGTCCCCTTTTTAAAGTATATTTTTATCACATTTTTTATAGAAATACATTTCCAGTACTAAAACAACTGAAAGATAAAGTTGGAAATTGAATAGTCGCCATTTTACATTAAACTCAATATATTTACGCGATAAATAATAGTAACGTTATAACTTTAATATGTCTGAAAAGTAGAGACTTTAAGCTTTAAAATGTTCTTCGAAATGTACTTCGCTATCGTCTCTTCTGCGGAAGTTACAGTCTGTTGAATTTTATTCATGTTTTAATTTAAAAGTAAAGTACATTTGATCCACTGTTAAATCTATCGCTATTTCGATTTTTTTTTTTTTTTTTTATTAAGATATTATACATAGCCTTTAAGTGTAAGCTTATTTGGCTTAAAAGTTCTCACAATCTTTATTTTCCTTACCCAATCTAAAGTTGTTTCCTTATTACTAAGCATGTGTATAAGAATGCTTAAGGTACCTGTTTACATTGGTCATTTAGACTTTGCCTCGCTATTTCGATTGGATAGTGTGTATAGTGGCGGCTCGTAACGGAGAATTTGGAACTACTTTTGTGAAAATATAATAGGTCTAATAATCTCGATATACCCCTGCCTATTTAGACCCGTTATTTTTACAAACATGACTTTCGCAATCAGCGCAATGCAACGCGTGTTATCCAATAAGTGTACAGCTTTTCTAAAATAGCGATATGATTATTGGATATCAAATATCACGTGTCGTGTTGCGCTGGCTATTAGTTTCAAAGTTTCTGCTAAAAGCCACCACCGTACTTCAAGCAATTGAGGTCGCGATACAAGTCAACAACAAGTCTTACGCCGTTTCCATTTCTTAAGTAATATGGCTGAAAGGCTGATCAGACATGCTATCCTTTGTATTGAAACATACTCTGAATTCAACAGGCTATAACTTCCGCAAAAATCACGATAGCGAAGTGATTCGGAAAGTATTTTAAAGCTTAAAGTCTCTACTTTGCAGACATATTAAATCCATAACGTTATTATTGTATATCAACAAAAATATATCACGCTGAATATAAAATGGTGACAGTTCGACTTTCAATCTTACTTTTCAGTTAAGTTTTTGCATTGAAATTGTGTTTTTGTCACAAATGTGGTGAGTACAATTTAAAGAGAGAGCTTTAAGTTATTTATTCGTTATTTAACGGATGTCGTATACCCATTTGTTTGCTTACTGTAAACAATCAAAGTCAAAGCCACCATTTTTGCTTTAAAATTTATTTACTTGGTAAAAAAAATCTCATTGCTGTCTGCGGGTACGCAAATTAAAGAGAAATGTTTACGCTTTCAAACAGTATAAATGGTATTTGTCCATAATTTTTATTTTACTCGACGTAATTCAACAAACTTTATAAAATATTTTACCAATTGACGGATCTTCACTTATATTCATACAACAATGTAACAATTAATTAAACTTTATATTTGTTAATATGTTTAAAAATTAGAGATTTTGTGCTATAAAATGCTTTTCAAACGATCTTATCATTATTTTTTTCAAAGTAATAAACTGTTGAATTTTGTCCATTTATGTATGTGGAATTATTTACTTTTCTATAATCATTTATTTAATTATATTACATGGAAAGTGTGCTACAAATTGTTCGTACGTAATATTCGAATACTTACTAGTGCATTAAAATTATAAAAAAGATGTACGAAAATTAAAAAAGACAAAAGAAAATCACTAATCGAATCAAAGCAGCAATCATTCGATTATAGGTTATTTTATCATTTACATCAATTAATATTGTTTATAATAAATTTTTGAAACTTTTGTACTTGAATTACATTAAAAAATTTAATAATTAATATTTTCATTAAAATAATTAAAACTATATATATACATTTGCAAATTTATTTCTTGCACTGTTGCAGAAAGTTCAACTAAAAAGAGTAAACCTGTCGACACGATTTGACGTGAGGAAATAACAGCTGTTATAACCTGTGTGATTTCGATCGCACTGAAAAAAGTTTCTGTCGAGAAGAAAATTGATCAGATTTAAAGATATGCAGGTAAATAATCGTTTTATTCAAGTGCATAATTGTTTTATCGTAAACGATATCAATTTTGTACATAACAGGTATGCAATATTGTACATATATACACAATATTTTGGAACATCTTAGTAAACATCTTAATATATTGTTTCACAATTTTATTGTTTATATTTTTAACTTTTAAATAAGTTGAATTTACATGATATTAATTGTTTTTAGGAGCAAGACATTCCAATCGACATAAATACTGGGAAATTATTGGACTGGTTGATTAACCGGAGACACTGCAAGAAAGATTGGCATACAAATGTCTTGACTATTAGAGAAAAAATTAATAATGCAATACAAGATATGCCTGCTCATGATGGCATTGCTTTGTTGCTATCTGGTGCATGTAAGTAGTATTAATTTCTAGCTTAGCTTTGTATTTTTTATAAATATATAGTTATACACATACACACACACATACACACACATATATACACACACAATCACTTGATGATTCTAATTCCATACAAATTTCTTTGCAGATATAAACTATTTTTATTGTGTCAAGATTGTAGAAATTCTAAAGGAAACAGAAGCAGATACGAGGAATTTATTTGGGCGGTATGGTTCGCAGAGAATGAAAGACTGGCAAGAGATTTTACGACTGTATGAGAAAGATAATGTCTGTCTTGCTGAAGCTGCGCAAATGCTCATGAGAAATGTGAATTATGAGGTTCCCAGTATTAAGAAACAGATACAAAAGTTGGAGCAATCATTAACTGTAAGTTTAAATATTCTCATATAATATATAATAAAAATATCTGTTTTATGTATGTGATTGTGTACACTTAAATTTCTCATACGTTTAGGATTTAGAGAAAAAGGAAATGGAGTATAAAAAGTCGGAAAATATGGCGCATGCAGAATATAACGCACTGTGTAGACAATTGGGTATAAGTAGCTATAGCACAGCTAGAAAAGAACTAATAGAAAAAGTGGTAGAATTACCGGGAATTTACCAGAGTGTAGCAGCAAAGACAAAGGGCTTGGACAAAGTTGTAGAGTTTTACAGTGCGTTTGTCGAATTTACTCTTGGCCGGCAATATGACAGTAACTGCGTGTCAATGATCAAATATATAATTGGTGAGTTATCGAATGTTATATCTGGAGAATGTGTGCGATACAAATAGTAACGCTAGTTTTTCGTTCACTCGAATAAGAAGATACAAACATAATAAATCACTAAACATTATTTTTACAGAGAAAGGAAACACTACGACGTATGAATATACTTATGGAGAAGCGCCAGTGTCAATAGTGGAGCCGGTAATAAATATTAAAACGGATAAAGACGAAAATAACGGGACAATTAGCACGAATGTGGATACAAATGTATGAATATCTTTAAGAATTTTTTCAGCACTTACACGGTTGGTACTTACGGAACTTTTCATTTTGTTATTAGTCCAAATTTACTTTCCACAGGCTATTGACTTTGGTGACTTGGATCTGAACGAAGAGATCGATTTTGATGAAGAAATTAACCTAGAGACAGCGGAAGGTGATATTGATTGGGGAAACGAAAGTACAGAACAACCTGTCGCGGAGGAAATAGATTACGATATCTCTTTGGAGGAATCGGGTATTGTGGTCGAGACAGTTGGTCATGAAGGTGGCGTAGCTACAGGATGTGAAGCACACACGATATTGGACAATCCTGCGACTAGAGTCGAATTTATCAATCAGTTATTCGAGGTACAGCAAATGCGTGTAATCTTACATAATCTCGGTGCATTCTCGTCTGAATAAATTATATATTTTTCAGTTGGAGGCGTTCATGAAGTTACGTCTGTACGAATTTAAAGGGGACGACAGAAAGAATCTGCTGAGCTTCAGTCAAATGCAGGACGCCTCCTCGATTCTGCAACTATCTACCACGGAGAGCACTCAAAATATGCTTGACAGCATCCAAGTTGTCCTTTCTGAAATATTACACAATGACGTTCATCATTTACATAACATCAAACATTATCCAAGGTATGATTAATTGAATACATTTTTCACAGAACTTTATTATTAATCCGTGATATCTCTCTATAGATACGTAGACGTGGTGGTTGGCGGTTTAAAGCAGAAATTGAACCTGATCGACAGAATGGTGATCCAACAAGAATCTATGCGGCAGAAACAGGAAGACGCGCAGAATCAAATTGACAAATTACGTCCGTTGTTGAAACTCGTCGTGCAAAGAACTAAGGAATTGCAAACAGAGGTATGCGGTTTACTTCTGCAAAGGATTGCGACTTTCAATTATCCAGTTTTTTAAAATTTGATAAATTTCTTATTCAATTGCAGATAGAACAAGACATTTCAAGGAGATACAAGGATAGAACGGTGCACTTGACTGGAGGTGTAAATACATTGTAAATATTAGGCAAGTTGATTGTCCAATTGATTAAATGAAGGATGCGTTTAATGTGTATGACTCTTTGATTAAAACAGTATGAGCAAAGTATAGGACTTATTGTTGTATAAAACATACTATACGATCTCTCACTATTGTGCACGTCCATTCAATTGGCAGAGGAAGACAAAGGATGTAACGGGAAACAAGATAAATTTAACGACCATAGTACAGTGATAATTGTTGATAAATTTTAACATAATTCGTTTTATGCGTAGAAAACGCTAGCTGATACGGTCAGCATTCTCTTTGGCATTATCTAGTATTGTCTGCCCTTAGTCCATGATACTCACGTTTATCGTGAAAATGGAACTAAATTATCGAAAAATTGTGTTAAATTACCGAAACAAAACGATTTTAACGCACTTGGAAATTTGACTACGAAAATTGAACGTGCTATTTTCAATATAAGCGGCATATTCAAATAATCATGAAGATGTTCTGCACGAGTCTCCAAGGCGACGAGGTACAAACTGCTTTGGTAGTAGGGCAAGGATATCGCTTCAAGCACTCGGCTAACGAACGATCGCATTCACACAAACGTTGAGCGCAAGATCCAGATCCTCCCCAGTCGCCGTGTTCAATGGCTGCAACACAACGAGTCCGAAGACTATTTTATCATGTCATATTACGTTATTCGTGTAAAACACGTCAAAAATTCTTCGCGCTACTCGACATTTTATAACTTGAGAATAATAATAAGCGCGACATTATGTCCTTTAGCTATTTTAATTATCCGGATGGAATCAAAAAATTGCGTGAGGTTGCGAGGAAAAAAAGTAATAAATAAATAAAACGAACCGCAAACGGGTTTGTAACCGCGATAACATCTCCAGTAATACGGTACGAAGTACTCCGAGAACATCGGGCATTCCGTAGCGTCGTAACACCAATCGTGCATCTTGCAGCACCTGAAACATTCCGCTCTCACAAACTGACATTCAGCGGCACCTGCGTCACTCGATAATCGGTGGACGCGAGTTTCGTATGACGTTTCCCTCTACGTAACGGGTAACATACTGGTCGATACCGTCGATGACGTAGCCGGAACCTAGGAATCCGCAGTAACAACCGTATCCTTTGTAGGCCAAGGGATTACATCCTGTGGCGCACACCACCATGTTATAAAGATGTATCACTCCTCTTTTGAATCTCATACGAGTAGATGTTTCCTTGACGCCGCTTCTGAAATCGCAACGTTTTCGTTCTCTTTGAAATAAAATCCGGGACACACGCACCCGTTGTCCCCGGATTAAAGCTACATCGAAAGCCACTGATTAATTGGCTGTAGTTATGCAAGAATAATTCAATTTACATGGAGTACATTTCGAGAAAAATGAAGATTTGATACATGATTCAGAAAATATAAAAATAGAAATAGAACTAATGTTCTCTCTCTCCATAATCGTTGAAAAAGTCAAGTATAATAAATTTTTTTCTCTTTAATTGTATTTTTTGACAATTTTACTCTAAAAAAAAAAGGGTAAAAAAGACGTAATTAGTAAAAATGACACAACTAGTAAAATAAAAACTGTCTTTTAATTAATTGTAGATACCCATAAGATCTTCTTAAATAGATCGATGTATACACTACCTATTGTTAACGAAAAATTAAAAGATCATAATTTTGTGGATTGGATCACATTCTTGCATAACCACGGCCAATTAACAAGAATTATTTCGAACTAGAATTTCGACTTTTTACTCGGCAGGTACAATACATTTTTTCCAAACCTACGATCTTGCTTTCATTTCTTTATTTGAACTTTCCTTTTTTTTGCTTGGCCTATTACATTCGATTCCAATTTATCGCTATCAAATCTCAATTGTTAATTGTTCGCAATTCCCCTCGTGATGTCCGCTCTCGTTACTTACGCGACAGGTAATGCCTTCGTGTCGTTCGGCGACGACGGCACGCGCAGGAGAATATCTTTCTCGTAATTGCGAATCGAGGAGGCACTCCACGGGTCGCCGCTGCGACCGACATAAAGATCCCCCTGCTTCCCTGCGTCTTCTATATCATTCATAGAATAATCGTAATCCGCGTGGCGCGTTCTGGCACCTCCGAGTATCCTATAAACATCTGGCATACCGTTACCTGCAAGTGTCACGAATGCCGATAGGCAAATTAAATATAGTTGCACGAGCGACGCTTATCTACGCAGTTAGAACACGATGTACAGTTAAATCGTACTTTAAATCGTACAGTTAAATCGTTTATTACAGTTGCCTCGTTAAATTCTACTGCTCAGGATTGAACTAGGAGCGATCGTAACGGTGTAAGTGATTATCCTAAAAAGAGAGACGCGGTATACTTTCCACGTGCGAGAGCAGCAAGCGGGGACGATTAATATCGCGGGCAACAATCTCTCTCCGTAATCCCGGCGCTTACGCGCGAACCCGAAAGTGCGTGTACTTTCCGAGTCGCTGCGCACTCGCTGCGCACTCGCTGCGTATTCCATATGTACTCTAGCACGCATACTGTAGCACGCGTGCGGCTTGCGATTTTCCTAATCGGCGGGAATCTCGCTTCGTCTTGATCCAGACCCGGTTAGCGTAAAACTACTCTCATTTATGCCACTTGTGGCCAGTCCAACGGTTTCTCGACGATCTTCCGTAAGTGGCGAGGAAATTGCGGCGCGCGTAACTACGCCGAATGATCGCGTACAACGGAACTGCCGGGTATATTTCCCGATCTTGCTTATTGAAATACGTACATACCTTTCTTTACCGATTCGCCGAGACGCACGTGGACTGTCGTCACCAAATCTGGCGTGAGATTGTTTGAATTTGTTTCGCAACGAATTATTTATTTTCTTTAGTAAGTAAAGTTTTATTACGACCGATAACCTTGGCATTTACCGTGATAAAATGAAACACGTGCACTTATCACACACATTATGTGAAAGCTCATATCTTATCATAAATTATTCGCTCGTCATTTTATGTCTTGTTGTGAATTTTTTGTGCGCGTGAAACGCTTGTCAACGGCAAGTACCACTTTCATCAGTGTATGTATTCTAAGAGTTAAATTTGATCAACTGTTTCAGAAAAAAAGATATAAAAATACGACTTATCGTTCCAAATAGACAAAGAAAAATAAGAGATAAATGAAAAATGTATACTTTTGATTGTACTTTGCTCAATGAGCCGAGTTATCGGGACAATATAAAAAAGTACGATGAATTTTGCACATGAAAACTTTTTTACTTGAGAACCAGATATATGTATATATCTGGTTTTTAATGATTATTATCATTGCTTCTTCTTTTTCTTTTTTTTTTTTAATGAAAGTCATCTCGTTATGAGTGTCTGACAAATCGCATCTATCGTGCGCGGACACTACTATCACATCGAGAACAGAAACAGCGGGCTCTTTTTTACAATACCAGCGCTCCTCTAGTTTGTTATTCTTTCTTTGTCATCGTGTAACCGATTCCACCCGAACGAGTTTTATTTTTCACGGAGTCGTATTTCGTGTCAAATCTAACCACTTTCGAAAAATGCTTGAAAAAGCCTCGAAAAATGCTCGAAAAATGCGTGTTTCGGCGTATAAATACCGCGATACAAAAATAAGACACGTCTTATTGTGTGCGTCTCTACCGTACAGTCGTCATATGTCGACGAAAGAATATGAAATTTGGCACAATTTCTTAGTAAAAGAAATTGCGCGTTATGATACGATACATGTTTGGGAAATATAAATTTTTCTAATGTGCACTTCGTTATGCAAGAATCGTGTGCATATTATAATTGTAATTACAATTCAACGTGGACTTCTGTATAATGTAACTTCAGGATGCACAGTTGCAAATGATATCAATACATGTAATACCACTCGAATCCGCAATAGACTCCAGCTTAATGGGATTTCGCTGTTTCACCCATCTTCTCCTAATATTTCATAAAAAAGATAGAGGTAACGAGCAAGTAAACGTGGATTTTATCGGGTGCATCGCGTAACGACTGCGGCAAACAGAGCGTGACATCGATCAAATTCGAAACTAGTTTGAAATAACTTGAAGTTTCTCTTACGACTCTTATTAACAATTGAAGCTCTCATCCTTTGATCGCTACGTTAAATCGATCGCTATGCAGTGCCACTATTATGTTGTACAGCGAGTTTACAGTTGTGTTGCCGTGGTGGAAATATCGTTAGATCGAGCTAATTAGCGAGACACGTGCGCAGAGACTCCGTAGCGAAGTTCAAGTTGCTGTAACGAATTACTATAACTGTACACACCTGTTGTGGTCGACGTATGTCGTGTAGGAAAATAGGTAGATTATACACCGTTTTATCGCTATAATATATATATATATATATATATATATATATATATATATATATACACCCACACCCACACACACATATATATCCCTTTCTCTCTTCGCGGTGGCGGAATTGCTCAACAACAACAGAATTGAAATCGCGGGATGAAACGACGCGATCGAATCGCAGCTTTAACACGACTACAGTAACAATCACCGACTCCCGGCTGTTATAATGCCCCGCAACGTTAATTAGTCCGACGCGGTAGTCCGTATAATCCGCGGTACACGCAATTCCTCTTTGCCCTTTACAGTTTCCATGGTGCTAAAAATGTGATACTTTGTTCATTTTCGCCATTGACGCAAACGCCACGTGGGCTTGCGAAACATCGCTGGTCGCGTGATTATTTGATCGACGAAAAAAAAGAAAACGAGAATATTTCAATTTACGGAGGATATAAGGCAAAGTGGCGGAAGTCGGCAGCACGCGCTACAACATTCAGTCAAGTAATTAGGCACGGCGAGGGAGGGATCGAGATTGTGGAAAATGCGCGGAGCATTAGCACATTTTTCTTACGGCCAAGGTTGATCGCGACGAGACGAATCACGTAAGAAAGATCGCGCTCCTTGTGATTATTCAAGTCGCTGCTGTGCGTATGATAATTTCGAGTGCTCATTAAACAGATGAATTGTGTCTGCTTTAGTTTTCTCCGTCTGTTATTTATCTCGCGGAGAGTTAGTCGCGCGAGCTCAATGAGAACCTCGGCGATGTGAAGCGAACTAATTAAATGCAACTCGCTACTTTGTAGATGTGACATTTAATTATGCACACACACAATGCTCTTTCTTCGGTTAGTCGGATAGTACGCGCGCCGTGCGTTTGTCGCTGATCTGTTGTCTATTGTAAACGTAATTATTTCACGAGTGACTGATTAGAGTCGCGGCAGTTGGAGAAGCTACTTGTCGTCAGCGACATGTCGAAACAATGATGCAAGTCAAGATTCTCCACATAAAGAGATAGGGCTGATTATATGCATAATGTAATTGCAAATTGAAAAAAAAATGTTTGGTAACTATAATCACATAGAGAAATAATTACTATAAATTATGGTCAAAGAACGACAATAAACCAATAAGAATAAAAATATAACTGTCACACTTTATGATAGCTGACGGGCGCATAATGACGTCGTATGCGATGAGTCAAATCTTTCAAATCGAACTTGTGAATGCTCTACAATATCATCATTATTAAATCCTCTTTCCCCTTTAAAATTCCCAAGCGCACATTCTTTTTATCGCTGTTTAAAAGTGAAAAGTTTGATCGAACACGTCTGTGCGACGAATGTAAATTTTTCCTATCACTCTCACCTCCGGCGTCGCAACCCACCAACGTCCCGATTAGCAGGAGGACGGGCAGGACTCCTCCGCATCGGCGAAACGACAATCGATCCGGCCGCGGCGGATCGCGGCCACGTGCGATGTCAGAGCTTTTCCGGCACATCGAGCACGTTTTCACCGCGGCGGTGAAAGCAGATCGGGGGCTGCCCTCGTGTCACCTGTGAATCGTCCTCGGTTCATCCGGCGTAACGGCGCTCACGTGTCGTAGCATCGGGAAGAACGCTGGCGCGCGCGCGCGCGCGCGCGCTCTGTTATGCTCGTTCCGTTTTCGACGGCGTTACGACGTTATCTCATTACGTTTCTGTTGATAAATCTAGATCCACGATGTAATTCGTCATATAATTTCGATCGTAAGAGAAAGAGGGAGACGGAGACCGCCGCCGCCGCGTCCACCCGCCGATCCCCGACAGCTCGTCGAGGGCGAGAGATCGAGCAGCACCGCCGCCGCAGGTGTCGACGACTTCAGTGTCTCTTTTACTCGCGGCGTTTCCTCACCAGATGTACGCGCCAACTGAACATTGATAAGCCGATCATTGTCGGCTGGATAAAATCCCCGACTCCTGGACTCAGACTTGGCGACGACACAAAGGGTGCCTTCTTGCGACACACCCGCGCTCCCGCGCGTCCCTCGGTCTTTGCATTGAATCCCTCACCTAGGATTCAATAATGTTGCTTGGCCTTTGTGCTCGTTCGCATCTCGCTCTCGCGGCTTAACGAGACAACCTGTGGTGCCTTGGGAAAAAAGTTCCCATCGGATCGCGGGATTTGCGCGGGTTCGCGTTATTACACGCTGCTGTCCTGCGGACGCGAATCGCACTTGACAATCCCCAAGCTTTCGCACGAAAGTTGTTTCTTGTCGCGAGCGAGTCCGATCTATCAGCTCGTATCCCGTAGAATCCTCCGATGGATCCTTCCTTCCTTGCTTCGATGCGGAAGAGTCGTTTACGTGGAATTTTTCCGCACAGCAAAAGTGGCCCGTCGTTTCAGCGACGAGAAGATCGACAAAGTACTGACTATCCTAATCGGCGCTGGTCCATCGTTTCCCTCCAAGCGACGGCTCCTTCCACCTTTCGCCGACATCCTCACCTATATCTAGTCGGACACACTCGGGCACGGCACGACTCGGTGACCTCGAGAACGCTCGTCTCACGATGGAACGAGACTCTGGCGATTCTCGTGGTCGCACTGCCGTGTCGGCTTGGCTCAGGAAATCCGCGCTGTTACACTTTCGTCCGGCTTCCCCGAGGAAGGAGGAGAAAGATCGGTTCTTCGCGTTGACTCCTTTCTTCAGGCGTTCTCGCTCGAGTCGCTCAAAGGGCGAAGACCACACTTGCCGGAAACTGTCGGAAACGCCAGGTGACAGTACACTCTGCATTTCCTCCCGTCGGAATGGATGGCTCGTCTGCGATTGACGTCGCTGCGCCCAAATATTTGCATGCGACTGTGTCGCGAATTAACCACACGAGGGAATCTCGCAATGCGCGACAATGTGTACTCGCGGCTCTGGGAAGTTTAGGTCGATCGAGTTTAGGTCGTGTTTCGTAACGACACGCGCAAGGCAAACGGCTGGTGCAAATCTGTCTCTCTGCTTCGAAATTGATAGGAAAATACCTCACGAAAATTCGTCACGTTGCGAATGAAGGCTGTTCGTAACCAGAGATTTGGTTGCGGCGCGTTAACAGGAAAGGTTCACTCGCACGAATTACGTGCGAAGTTACACGATGCGGAAGAGAGTCTACGCAAGTAGACGCTTAGATTGGGGTGCAACAGGTTACGCAGATTGACTTCTTGGATTTTAGTCGAAAGGACACGAACGAGCGTGCGTCTCGGCGATTTTCCCCATTATACGTGCGCGTTTACCCTCAACTGTTTCAGACGCGTGAAAAACGCCCACATGGTCATCAAATCCTAGCGGTGTAACCTTTAGAAACGACTTTTCTTTGTCGCGGCACGTTTAACTGAAAGTTGCGCCCAAAATTGTAATCCTCTCTTTTTTCCGTCAGAGTAACTGGCGACGCTGATTTCCATAAACGTCGCCAAGAGCGTTCGCCAATTTGCATCGGCGGCTGTGGTACGCGCGCATACATTTATCGAGATAATTTTGCACATCGATTATCGCGTCGCGCAGTCAGGTCGAGTCGAGAAACCAACTGTTTTCTACACGCGTGGTCCCTACGAGAGTCCACGCATAAGTTCGGCTCATCGCCTCCGATTGCTCCGGGATAGCCGCCACGAATTATCGCGCTTTTACGAGGAAAGCGATCGTTGCGGCTATCCCGGTTCGACGAATCGCAAATCGGCTGTCGCTCGGCAGTCTGAAATTACGCGAACAGTATATTCACCGACTGACCGACTGACTGTTTGAAGCAGTTGAAGAAGAGAAGAAGAGCGCGCGCCTCATCGTACGTTGCACATAGCGGTACTTGCGCGCTCGGCGATGCACGCGACGACGATACAGCGATCGTGCACAGCGCGGTTACGAGACGTCGCGGAGCGGGATTTTCATAGGGGATATAATCATAGCGAAATAATCATAGAGGACATAAAAGCTCCGCAACATATTCACATGTCGCGTAAAAACGCAACGTTGACTACCTTGGTCGCGATATAAAAGTCGCCGCGCAAGCTGTTTCGTTACTTTATTATTACCATTGCCGTTCAATGGACAATGGCGCTGCTACTCGGACTATCGCTCTAACTCAACACTCATTTGCGATAATGCGCGCACGGCTCGATTACTCGACGCGCGTCTATGTATATTAATTGGAAAGCTTTCCAATTCGGAGCTTTCACCTGATTCATCAAAATATTCGTTTCTTTCAGGACAAACGATGTGTACGGATATATTCGTCGTTTCCTCGAGAAGAAAAATTGCGACGCAAACGTTGGAGGGAGAGAGAGAGAGAGAGAGAGAGAGAGAGAGAGAGAGAGAGAGAGAGAGAGAGAGAGAGTGTGTGTGTGTGTGTGTGTGGAGTGTGTGTGT